TCACATATATTGGGCACAAACATGAAAAAAAATCCTCAGCTTAGACTCAAGATACTATTGCCAGTGAAAGTTTGGGTGTCCCTTTCTTATTCTTATCCTGGCTCTTGCTGTTAAGAAACTTTTTAGTTGTGTAAATGTGTTTTATGTCATCAACAACGTGAAACTTTGGTTATTTTTGGAGACAAAAAGCATTCCCAAACTAAATATTGGGTAATTTTGAAGCAAACTCATACTAAAAAAAAAAAAAAGCACCTTCATGTGGATATGTAAAGTTGCATATCTATTTCATGCTGTACACAGACACACAGAACATATTTATTATCCAAGTTACTAACACATGGCCTCGTTTCTGGATTTTTCTCAAAAAAAGTTGAAAGATGAAGCTGTAAATAACTAAGATTTTCAGTCAAGGAAACTATTTCTATACATACATCAGAGGAAAGAGAAAGTTAACACCTGTGGATATGTAAAGTTGCATATCTATTTCATGCTGTACACAGACACACAGAACATATTTATTATCCAAGTTACTAACACATGGCCTCGTTTCTGGATTTTTCTCAAAAAAAGTTGAAAGATGAAGCTGTAAATAACTAAGATTTTCAGTCAAGGAAACTATTTCTATACATACATCAGAGGAAAGAGAAAGTTAACACCACAGACATTACTTCTCACCCATTATTTCTGACAGAAGCCACTTCGTTCTCATCTCTTCTTCAATTTTAATCCCCATCTTCATAGCACTGTGAAGGCCAGTAAACAAAGCCTGAACAAACCCAACAACCAATACTCTTTCATGTCAAGAGTTCAAAAAGGCCAAAGCCAACCTTGCTGATCCCATCCTAACAAGACGTGCACTGCTCTTTCTCACAGTTAAGATTCTCATGCGACTCTCATTACCACAGTAACAAATATACATTTACCCCAACGACCTGCCTTTGAAATCAAGAATCACCATTTTACAAAGGTAAAATACGGAGATCAAACCAACTAGTAAGTCTGCCTGGCTGTTTTAATTGCCTCCCCGCTTGCCCCCAACAGATGGTACAAGCAAGCCTTTCCCAAGTCTGTCATCTCCCCTGTGCCGTCAGGTTCTTGTAAGATGGAGTCCGTCCCAGTCCTTGGCCAAGGTACGAGTAAACAAATACTACAGATTCCACCTTTCCAAATAAATTCCTCTTAGTGCTGCTCATATTCAGCCTGTCTGACCAGTAGATCCATACCTTCCCTACCCAGCTAAGGCCACCAACTGACCATAGCCATGCAACCAGGACTAGCTGAGCTCAGGGGCTAGAAAACGCACTTTTCTGTCAAAACAGGCAACAGGCCCAAGTCCTCATTTAATGATGCTCTGCCCTACTGTCCAAAACTGACCCAAACCTTAAAACTTATGAGATACATTGAAATTAGTTATGAATAACTAATTGTCTTTCCTTCATCGACAGAAGAACATGATATGCTGCAAAAATCACAGAAGTAGGCTGCTCTTTAAATTATTATAAATGCCATGCACTTTCTTTGACCTTGTTTCAACAATTCTGCTGTCTGACAAATAATTTCCAACTATACCTGGCCACAAGTCAAAGTGGTACCCTAACTTAAACCACACAAGGCAGAATTTACATTTTTTTTTCCACTTGCTAACAGCTTGACTTGGAACTGTGGGAGGCAGTCATTTTGAGACAGTGAAAAATACGCAGTCTCTCACACGAAGTGCTGCCCAGACCGAGCTGAAGTATGGTTTACAGTTTCTGTACAACTTACTTCCAAGCAAGCACCTGGGGCCATGCTGGCTACTCTATCCTTTATGGTAGGCTTCCAAAGCACAACCCCATCTTGCATTCTGCTCCGCAGATCAAAGGGAAGTGCCAGTAAGGCAACCAGGCACCGTCACCGTTTTGTTGGGGATGCCCCATAGTTGACGTCACAGCAAAACCAGGGGCTCTTGGAGCACAGGACTGTAACTTTGCTGTTGAAGAACAGTTATTAGGCTCACCATGTTTTAGATAAAGCTGCAGGAATGAAAGAATATAGTGGTTTGGACATCTTTGTAGAAGCTGAAGTGGGTGAGAAGGGCCACCAATTATCCTGCAGGCACAGAGATGGTAGCCAAAGAACTGGAAATCCCCAAAGGGAGAGCAGGTCTCAAACAGGAATAGGAGAAAGATAGAATGGAACAAACCTGACTGTCTAGCAGAGTGTGTCCATGTGATTCTCTAACCTTCATTACCAGATTGGTCGTTAATTCAGGAAGAGTTCACCCAGTGTAGGTTTCATACCTCTCTATAGTTAGTAACTCCACTGCAAGTTTCTAGATAAACATCTTTGTTCATCATCTCATCAAAATTAACTCATTTTTCATATGGAAAAGATGAAAAAAGCACATCTTCCTTTCTTGAACAGCAGTATCTGTGGCAAACATAGGTGCTTTCAGACGCCATGAATCTTGTATATAAGAATTTATTTTTTTTTCCCCACACAGCACAACTAGTTGATAGTTCAGTGGTTCCAAGGTGACTGGTGAGAAGGAAAACACCTGTTTTCCTAGCTGTAATAAAAACAAACACAATAAAGTCAAATATTGATAATCTATATTTTTTCTAAAAATAGTATACATTATAACAGAAGATAAAAGAATAAACTGAACACTCTTGTAAACAGATATAAAAGTAAAAAAAGTGTGTACATCTCAATTCATGATAAAGAGGAAAAAAATATTTCAAGTATACTAATGACTAATCCAGTGTGTGATGAAGTTTAAGGCTAACATTTTCAACCTTCAGTGCCGAATTTGTACAGAATCCACCTATGAACTCTCAGAAGCAGTTTTATTTCCATCAGACATGAATCCTTGCAGCTGACACTGACTTTTCAAGAGCTTCAAGGGATCAGAACTCATTTCCACAAGACAACAGTGTTTCTTCAAAATTTTACAAGTTTTAGCTAGAAAACAGGAAAAGAGGTAGAGTTCAGTTGAACATCTTGATTCAGAAATGTTGCTGCATCATTTCATATTCCCATTGTGAGTCTTGGGTGAGGGCTCCGGCTCCTTGCTGGACTGGATCTACCAAAGCAAAGCACACTATAATACCACACACATATAGCTGTGGTATGTTACGGGAGAGAAAAGCTGCTGGCATACATGCCAGCACTCATCACTCAGAAAAACAACTTAACACACAGACACATGATCCTAAAGCATGCATATAGTAGGCCCAAGGTATGGGGATTATGTTGGACAAGCTGCATAATGAGCTATTTGCACGTACGCAGTGGATGCCTCTGTAGGAATTGAAAATAGCAGGCAGCTCCGTCACAGCAGTAGTCTTCAAAGCTAATCCTAGAGCTCCTAACTAAAGACAGAAGATTATTTGCAAAAGTTAGGGTTGACAGAGATTTGAACTGCAGTCCCAAAAAGATACAGCAGTACAATTTCCTCTTTGAAATATGGCTAGAAAACTCACTGTTTAAAGAGTAGCAGCTTTTTTGAGGAATAGTTAAAAAAAAAAGTTATTAAAAATTCCAGTCTTCCAGAAGCTTTTAAAAAAAGGGGAAAAAAAAAAAAATCAAATCTCAAACTTGGGTCAGTCTTTTCACCTTGAAACTAGATATTCAGCTTCTTGAAGTCACTAAAATGAAGCTAATTTATAAATTAGCTCACCCCAGAACTAGTGCCTGACATTGAAAATGTTAGCCTTTACTCCTAGCTCCTCTGTAACCATGTCACTCAGTATCTATAGTATTACTAGAGGTCCCTTTTCGTTCTCTTATAGTAAGAAATTCAGTATACAGCATTAGACTTCCCTCAGCTTTGCTACTAATTCTTAAGTCATTTCTACTTGAGAAAAGTAAACAGTGCATCAACCAGTACCCCGTTCTAGTTTTGCCCCACATCTTGACATACTGTTCACCAGTGCTTTGGTATATACACCTATGTACATAGTAGCATTGTCTGAGATGCTTTAAGTAAGGGTAAAAACTAGAAGTATTTTTAAGTTACACCATTTTTCTGTGTGGCATTATAGCTATAAGTAATTTATACATTGTATAGCATAACCGATTCTTCAGTAGTTTTTTTTAAAACATCAGAACACAGAAAAATGGTAGGAAAAAGATCGATTTCTAAAATATTTAAAATGTAAACAGTGTAATTCAGACTATCAAAATTCTTTGAGAAACATCCATCTAAACCACCATAAGTGCTTTACTAACCATCCACCTGGACTGTAGATGAATTCACCATTAGAGTGGCTTTAATCAATACATAAACTTGTGCTTGTTTCACACAAGCGTGCAACTACTTTGGTGTGGGACAGAAAGTAGGTCAACCCACAGGACTGTGAAGAAAAAAACCATAGCCTGTGAAAAGGGAAGTTATACTCAATACCCAGGATATACTGCAAAGCGACAGGCATTTGAGATAAACAGGTAAGTGCGCTCAGAGGGTATATTGTCTTCAAAATTTGGAAAGTAATTTTAAGTATACACCATTTTAATTGGTATTTTTGGTCCCTAGTGGTTACCAGCTAGAAAGTCTCTCTGAATTACATTTCTTCTATAGCAAATATACGTCCTATGATGTAGTAGTATGCAAATAATTATTTTGTTTAACATCTGCTCTTGTTTATAAAAGAGATTTAAAGCTTAATTTGCCTGAACGTGATGTTGAAACATTGAATTAATTGGAACATGCAAATCCAAACTGCTGCTTGGAACACTGAGGTGTTCCTGTGCCAAAACCAGTGTCAGAAAGCTTAAAAAAAAAGATTTTAACAAAGGAAGAAAAAAAAAACAAAAACAAAAACAAAACCCCCCTCATCTTCTACTAGGTAGAACATAGGAAATCATGGAAGGGCTACCAAAAAGGCCAAGAGACTTGCCTTCTAATTGTGGCTTTCCCAATAGCAACAGCACACAACTGACACAGTTCACAGCTGCTGCAGTAAAACCAGTGGTCTGGCTTTTTCATTCCTTTTCTGCTTAGGAAGACTATGAACAGCAGCAAAGAAACTGAAGGTGTTTGTAGACTCAAGAACCAACCTGCATTATTCCGCCCACTTTTGGAAGGTTATCTTTGCAACCCTGAGGGCATAGAACATATATATGTGTGTACAGTACATAAAGCTTACACAGTATACAAACCGTTGGTACAGGCTCTCTCTCTCTTGCAAGGGAAGCTTCCCACGTACTAGTGGCAGCTAGGCCCAGCATTTCACACGTACAGGCTAACAACTTTCTTTGACCTAGAAATCATTCTGGTAAGTTCTGTTCCCTCTCTTGGGCCATTCCTCCTCCACCCATTTCAGCAGCACTTTCACAACATCAATTCTCTTATAAAATTTACAGAGATCAATCAGCTGCTCCACAGTCCGGTCACTATTCCGTAGCAAGAACTCCAGGGTGGGACTTTGAGGCTTCTGTTCAAGGAAACACAATTCATCATAAGTCATCCCCCACTTGCTTGCTAAATTTCTCCAGTTTTTCACTGTTGGGTGGCAGGGATCCAGCTTTAGCCTCACTGTGTACAACAAGTCCTCATCGTTGAGCATGTCGCTGATGGTCGGTGCACGGAATAAGCACAAGGAGCAGGTGCCATTCTCCTTGCAGGTTTTCTTGAGATCTGCAGTGAAAACCATTACATGGGGACAAGTTAGGATCTACTGCTGTGGTTTCACCGGGGACAAAAAATTAAAAGTACAAAGGGTTGAAGAGTATTATGTTCTGTGAATTGTTTCTGAAAAGTCAGAATAGTGACACGTAATGTCTTTCCTTATGAAGTACTCATGAAATTAACTTTCCAAGACTTCTCTCTCCACTATGCTCAGTGGCTATAACCAAAACGACAGTAATTTTGAAAGTACCATATTTATACTTTTACAGAAAAGGCATACAATTCAATCCAGTGTGTGAGTTGCAATATTCCCCTTTTTTGTTTTTGGGAACTACGTTGCTTCCTCGAATCTGCCATAACCCCTCCTTACATTGCCAACAGGATTATGTGTGCATCAAGTGCATCTTGTATATGTGTGTTGTACGACGAAGGAAAAGGTTTTGCACTTCTGAGCTGCCGCCTTCATAACAACATGATATAGTTGCACCAGGAGGTGCCTTTTTGAAGGCAGGGAGAATTTGGTATCTGCAAAGAGTATTAGATAATGGATGCAGCCTAGAAGCACTTTCTAAAGCTTCATCGCACCCTCCAGCCTCATTGTACAGCTTTAAAAAGGGAAGTAACTACTTAGGATGAAACTCTTTGAAAAAGAGACACTAGAATAAGAAAACCAATATTAAACAAAATATTTGATTAAAAACAACATCAGAAAACAGTGACACACAATTTACAAGTGTTGGATCAGTGCTGCTCTAAAAGACCTGAACTGTATATCTGGCAAAGGGCAAATCTGGTACTTAGTGCCACCTACTCATATAGACAATAGCATCTGTTAAGGTTGGGGGTTTTTTTTTGGGGGGTGGGGGGGGGGGGGGGGGGGT